AGTATGTATGTTCTTAAACGTGAGCGTTTGTGAGAAGCCCCATTTTTTTCTTTGCCAATATTTTAGCGCATCTCTGAAGAGGTTTTACACTGTAAATAAGATCACTCAAATAATCATGTGTTGCCACTATGGCTTACGTTTTCATTACCTGGCGCGATAGCGCCAGTACGGGCCGTGAGACATTCATGGGTGGTGCAAGCTTCGCTGTATATACACTCTAAAAACATATCGAGTAAAAAGGGTGTCTTTTTGTCCCACAACAATAATTATCATAAGGCTTGCGTGCGCTTCCTTTCTTGGAAACTCGGCGCTGGTCACTTTCTTATCGAGAATGCAATGTAACCCTGATAATGGGCATGTCGATCGTGACCAGAATGTACCGGGTGCGGGGCGATAGCGCAAGGATGTAACGCAATATAGATGACGATTATTGTTGTGGGACAAAAAGACACGCTTTTTACTCGCTCTTTTTTTAGAGTGTAGGGAGCATGATATATGCAAAGAGCACTCACTGTGAGCGTCATGCAGTAGAAGCGACAACTCGCGTCGACGCAGTCGAAAGAAAATGGCGATGTCAGCTGACAGATAATTTGAGCGCTTGGTGTGACATCTAAGGCATAATTAGTATTTCAGCGGGCGCACATTATTTATAGTTGATAAATTCGAACAGGTGTGTATGTTTCATGAAGTCGTTAGACGCACCAATCATATTTCGGAAGTGCGCCTTGTGGACGTATCTCACATAAGAACTATATCACTGAAAGAATCAGCTAGCGTATGAATAAAGTAGCGTGCCACCTTACGTGATTACTTCGCGAGAGTTCTACTCATGGATATAACCTATACCTGCCAATTCTTCCGATTTGCCTATAAAACATACGAATTTTGACCGCTCTTTCAATTTAACGAATCTTATCTGAAATTTTACAAAAATATTTCATTTCCGATAAAAATAAAATTTGTAAAAAAGGGTGGCCTCCGCGGTTGGCCTCGGCACATTGCCGTAGCTGTCGCGGAGGCCACAAAAACGGCTTCGTCGTACATTCTGCCACCAGGAAAGATTAATATGTTTTGGTGGTTGTTCAAATATGAGCCAAGTCTCCCGCATTGTCCAGAATACTCTCTGATTTCGACAGTTTCTTCTGTTTGTAAGGTTGCCATAAAAATTTCCCGGAAATCTAAATTTGTGTCCGAGATGTGGGCGATTTGACAGAAGTGCAGACTTTTTGAGAGCCCACCGCATTTTGTTATAAACGAATTTGGGAGGCGTTCATCTAAACGTACAGTAGAGTCTCAGTAATGCAAAACCGCGGCAGTTACGAATTTGAAAATTCTCCAGCCTTGGGCCAATAGTACCGAAACCGCTGAACGAAGGCCGGTCGAGAGCAGCGTGCTCGAACTTCGGAAGTACGCTTTCGACCAGCGCACGCATTTTGCGTGTGGTTGTCGCTGCCACAACTGCTGTGGACAAAACTGCGGTAGTTCGACATGATCATGTATGGCGACGCCGTTACTGACAGAGCTCCGAAAGTGTGCGCGTGGCTAAACCTCGACCAGTCAAGCAACGCTGCTTTCTGCACTCTGTTGTACTGAACCGCAGCAGTGGAATCCTAGATTGCATGAAACGAGTTAGTTTTGAAGGCACGTGGATTGAAAACTACCAGTTTGCCACATTCATCATGGCGATCCGATAGCGATCTACGAGCTTAGAGGACACGTGGCTGACGCAGCGGTCGATTAAAGGCGGTAAAGACGTAAAAAAAAAGGTTAGAAGCGTTTTGACATTCCTGTCCTAAGAATCTAGCAGCAAGCAAAGCCAATGTTTTGACCCACGCTTTCGCGGCAGCCAACTGCGCCGTCCCGTCCGTTCACGGGTGAAAACATACGTGAGTTGTTTCGACAGAATTCATTTTTGTCTGAAGTTGTTTTGATGACGTGAAATTTCGGAAACATTTGCGCTCCTCTTTGAGACTGTCACCTTCATGGGAAACCCTACACTCGTATATTCGGTTACTGCAAGCCATTATGAGACCGCAACACCAATGTTTGAGCTTGTGTCCGGGAGTAAGCGCTGTTCTTACTTCACTGCACAAGGAATATAGAGTCCTCCTCCAGCGACGCTGGGACCATTTGCGAGCCACAGCACGCGCACAGCAGTGAGAAATGGAGGCTTGGTGTGGCAGAAATGTTCTTCGTAGACATTTAGCTATGGAGAGTTCAGCAAGAACCTCTTTTTTCGATCCAAGCAGAGGCAGTTTAGTGTGAACACAGGACGGAGTATTAGAGGTGGCAAAGCAGTTCTACAAGAACCTTTACGCCGAACCACCTTCCACTCCGTACTCGTTTTCTTTCACAAAGACTTAGAGGATTTCGATATTTGTGACACTCCTCTTGTCGAAGAGGAAGTGTTCGCAGCTCCTAAATCCATGAACCGTAATCGTAGCCAGGTTCAGATGGTTTGACAGTTGAGTTTTATGTCAAGTTTTGGAAGGTTTTGGAAGGCCTTTTACCACATTGGCAAACAGGCTTCTCCATGAGGGGACTCTGTCAGCAACGCAAAGGGAGGGGCGGATCACTCCCATGTGCAAGAATGAGGCAAGACGCACTGACCTGAGAGCCTTGGGGCCCATCGCACTTCTCAAATGTGACTACAAGCTCATAGCTAAGTGCCTGTCCTTTCGACTCATTCCAGTACTTGGTACTGTTTTCGGTCCATACCAGGCGTGTTCTGTCCAAGGTATATCATGCCACTTCATGGTTTTGGTATTAGCGATCGCATAAAATGGTCGAACTCATGCAACCTGCGTGGAATTCTTGGTCCCTTCGACCAAGCAAAGGCGTTTATATTATCAGTCATAAGTACCTCTTTAAAGTTTTTAAGCAGGCAGGCTTCAGTGGCAAGTTCATCAGCATGGTCAGGGCTCTCAGTTTTCGTACTAATTCTGCTGCTCTGCCCACTAGCGCGATTACTAGGGCTAATTCTGACAGTGAACAATATTGAATTTGATGGTGCGCACTATGTACAGGATAGTGACACTTTTATGTGTAGAAAAATTGGACCAAGTTATGCAAATAGCTTTATGTGCCAACTCGAAGATAAATTCTTAGACGCATGCAGTATCAAATCCTTTTATTATAAGTGTTATATTGACGACGTCTCTCTGATCTGGCTGCACGAAGAGACAGAACTTCTGTCGTTCATTACAGACTTCAACAAGGCTCATCCCATCATCTCTTTTTCAGAATCACACTCAGCAAGAACAATAAATTATCTTGACGTCACGGTTACTATAAGCGCTAATCAAGTGACCACTAAACTTATTAGCAAATCCCAGGAATAGGCAGTCATACCTACATTCCAAATGTTCACATCTAAAGCACTGCAAAATGGAATTCCCATACGGTCAAGCACTGCGTTTCAAGAAAATATGTTGAAAAAAATTCAGATTTTACAGACAACTGCACCGAACTTGGGTGGACCCTACAGAAACAAAAATATCGACCACAAATCATTAATAATGCTATTAAACGGGCTGGAGACATTGACCGTAAGGAACTTTTTATTCTGAAGAAGAACGCTGCATCCTCAAGCACGAGACTGGTTAGAACACACTCAGCATCAGCACGAAACATCAACGGCATTCTTCAGAAGCATAACAACATACTACTACAGAGTGATGACCTTAAAAACATCTTTCCTGATCCCCCACGTGTGATATGTCGCAGATCGAAGAACTTACGCGACATACTAACATCATCAAGGATTACCCCCCCCCCTTTTATTTCTGGTTGTCATCTATGCCAACAAACACCGTTGCAAAGTTTGCAACCATATGATGAAGACAAAATTGGTTAAAAGTACAGCATCAAACTTTCATCTAAAAATTAAAAGGTATTTTGGCTGCGACATAAGCAACATTGTGTACATGCCTAAATGCTCTGTGTGCAAACTCCAATGCATCGGACATACTGAAACACCTTTTAGACTGCGCCTGATTACCCATGAGTCACATGTCACAAGCCTATCCAATATACCTTTGTCTAAGCACGTTGACATTTCTGGTCACTCATTCAATGAACTAACCACTACTAAACTGTAATCACGTTTCCCTTCACACTATGGTAGGGAACTGCGCGAGTAATTCCTGATACACAAGTTCAACACGCTCTTATCCGATATAAATAAAAATCTAGGCAAACTGACGTTTATTGCGGCGCACAAACAAGTTCTAGTTTCCTCACAGTCTGTTCATAATCATTGCACACGCAGATTCTCACTACACGTTTTCGTTGCAGTGAATTTCTTGACTTTGTGTTATCGATTCTGTTTGTGCCCCATGAAATTCTTAGCAATGCATCTTATTTCATTCAAACCTTTTCTGTTATACTTTTTGTGTGTCGTGCGTGTGATTTGCTGTATGGTTTTCATAGCTTTATTTCTTGTTTGCAGTACTACCGTAGTTTTCAAATTGCTATTCATGTGATATACTTGATGTAAAAACCATCCACGCATTGTCATAATTTTACTTTGACATTGCTTTGTCATTCACTGCTCACCGTGGATTACTCACCACATCGGAGTAGATAGTGTATGATAGTGATGGTTCATGTGTCAGGGGCCCATTATATACCATTCCTACTTAAGAAAAGCACGTTTTTGTATTTGGTTTCATAGAGTGAGGCTATGTCTAGTGTCACAAGCTTTGAACCAGGTGGCACATCGAAGTCAACAATGATTTCGAGCAAGAAATGGTTTTGTTCACGAAGATAGGCATTGGTTAAGAGATGGTGCCTATAGCGGAAACAATAGCTCGGCTAGGATTACTTGCTTCGTGCGTCTGTATTGCCCGTCCTCTACTTCTTGATATATATATATATATATATATATATATATATAACAGAAGGAGAGAAACCTTCACATGCAGTGTTTGGCTTTACTAGCAATGAGCAATGTACGTGATTATGAACATGAAATCATTTGTCTCATGTGATGCCCGCAGGGTGCTGCCACTCCTCCTGCACCGACCGCGCAGCAGCAGCAGCCACGGATGCAGGAGGCCTCGTATTTAGCGTTGCCGTCAGACGGCGACCAGCCTGTGCAGCTCGCCAACCCATTGCTCAACGCAGCATTTTCGAATAATCCACTCGCAGCTGTCTACCTTGGCCTGCAGCAGCTCAACCAACAGGCCACGCTCTACTCAACCGTGACACAGTCTAGCGTCTACACCACAACAGACACAGTGTTCCAAACCAAGCTGGTCAGTTTCTACGATGGTCGGCGGACACGAACACGCACCTTGTCTGAGTCGCTATCAACAACGGAGCGCACGCTCACCAGCTACGTGACCAGTGTGGTACCATACCTAAACACGCAGGCGCTGCAGCTTCAGCAGTTACAGCAGCAACAGCTGCAGCAACTCATTGGTACGCAGCTGGGCGTGGTGCCGACGCAGCCACCGGCACCGCGCTACACCACCGTGACGTCTACGCACACAACGGTGACGACGGGTACCAGCTACAGCTCCAAAATATACACACTCATCTACAACGCATTCAGCACGCGATACCGAACCGTGACCAGCTCCAGTTCATACGTGACCACACTTACCGTGACATCAACGTCCTCTTACCTGGTGCAGCCCAAGGCCCCTCCTGAAGCTTTAGCACCACAGCAGAGGGTGTTGGCACCACACACTGTGGCGCCGGCCATGCCATCACAGCTGGTTGCGGCCGCTTAGACACTATGCTTAGGCCGCACATCGGCAGGTATGCCCACCACCTGGCCAAACGGTGCGCCATAATCCTTGCTCACAACATGGTCGAACAACTAAGTGTGTCTATAACTTTTCCTTTGGTGAAGAAAATCATGCCTTCAATTTTGATGTGTCACTAGAACATTTTTGCCAGAGCAGAAAATCCAAGATTCAATCCTGGCAAGCTTGAAGACAACTTTCTGTGACAAAGAATAGACCGCATGAGTGGGACAAATACCATCTGTTCAGCAGTAAAACTCGTTATCACATTTTTATGTTCTTTAAAATGAAGAAAGTATTCCCCACCATTTGGTGTTATTGACCAAAGCCAGGCTTGTTCACAGTGTAATGAACTTTATTGCAGGGAAAAAACCTTTCCTTGGAGAGCTATGCCAGGTGGCCGGAATAGCGAGTGAGAAGGGTCGGCGAATGTTGTTTTAAATTCGCTTATGTGTGAGTGGCTGTCACGAGCGCTTTACTTGGAAGGCCCGCAGTGGCGAGCCCAAACGAAAAATTATGCATACCTATTTATTATTCGAGCAAGACATTTCTCATGAGAGCAAAGTCAGTCTTTGTAACTCTTGTCTTTTGTTCATACGAAGCCTCACGTTGTTGTTTTGAAGAGTGTTCATGTAAAAATAAAAGTCTATGATGTGTTTTACAAATGCCCTTGCAATTTTTCTTTTTCTTCGATGGAATAATTATGATTATTCCTTCGTTTTAAGAAAACAACAAGGTCTCGTGTAACAACCAAGTCTCACGCAGCTCCTTAAAGGACAACTGCAATGAAATTCGGCTCTCCGCAGAAAATCAATATATAGGTAGCAGGAGCAAGACAGTTGTGCATATTGCGCATTCTTGATACATTTCCATTTTTTTTTTGGCCACGCTGCTGCAAAAGCAAAAAAATCATGAAAATTGCGCCGAACTGCTCCAAATCATCCTTGAAAGCTAGAGTTTTGATGCCAATCACAGCTTTTGTGGGGGAAAAAGGCTGATTTCGTCTGATCAGACGCACCCAATCATGTTTTTTTTTTTTTTTCACTTTGCACCTTCCTAGTAACGAAGGCTCTCATAGTGCCGCCACAATCTCCTTTAAACTGCTGCAAATATGCGTGACCTCGCAGAAATGTTCTGCCGTGATTAGAGCATGCTCTTTCGACTAGCTACGCTGTGTGTTCTGGTGCCACTGTCATCTTGCGAAAATCATTGAGTCGGGTGGCAAGCGTAGCAGTATTCACTAACCAGTTCTTTGTTATGAATAGCGCGTTCCTCTGGTTTCTGTGGTTTTCATGTAGACACTGCAGCGTGCGGTCTCCTACGACTACGAGTTTACCGCGTCAGCGAGTAACTGCAAACATGGAGTCATTTTGCTGCACTGACGCGTCTCCTGGATGCTCTGGCGTGTGCATGTGGGTTCTCAAAATGTATTTCGTGAGCGGCACAATGTGTGCAACCAATTCCCGGTTTAAACCAACTTTATTTTTTAGACACACACTATTTTATTTAGACAAGCGAGTTCTCATTGCATTTTGCATTAAAAAAAGCCATGGCATAGAAATTCCGCACATCGGTGTCTGTAGGTAGAGAGAAACACTTTAGGGATGTGTGAAGTTGCGGTGACAGAATGCACGTTCAAACCATTTTGTAGAACATCAACGGTAACCCCAGTGCTTTATTCGTGACTCATGATGCATGGGTAATTACTTGGCGTGAGCAGGAATGGTAATTTGCCACTGCTTCGTTTTGTCATCGAAACTCGCAACGAGCAGTTTAAAACGCGTCGCTGCATGCGTACCGGCCCTGAGCTACACGAGCTTTAGGCTTATTTCGATCGGAGTTTTGGTCGGCAGCAGTGTGATTTCGTTTTAAATGCGAAGCATTTCTTAGCGAACTTTGGCAACTTTCAGCGTTTTTTATCTATCTATCTATCTATCTATCTATCTATCTATCTATCTATCTATCTATCTATCTATCTAGCCGCTTACGGTTGGGTGCTCTTATGGTCACCTCTTTAACTTGACGTGAACCAAAATTAGCAGGGGAGGGTAAGATGGTTTGACGAATATGACACGCTGGTCAAGACAAGAATAATCTCACAATCCACTCACGTACGTCGTCAAACGATTTCCGTCAAACAGCGGCACATACCCACGGTTGTATATGTGCCGCTTGTATGTGGGTATGTGTCACAGGTGATAGACATTTAGTATCAACCTACGAACGATGAAAACAAACTTGCGCCATTCTAATGCGTAAACATTAACAAATACCCGATATCGGTAGCGTCGACCCAACGATGACATAGAATAAATGTCAGCGTTAAGAAAACCCGGAAATAAGCAACGTTGACACCCCGGTGAATGTAAATAATGAATTTCAGGGTTCCAGCAGGAGTCGATCCCAAGCACTCTACGTGGCAGTCAAGCATTCTACCGCAGAGCTACGCCAGGACTCAACACTACTTTTCAATTAGACGTTAATCTTTGTTAAACGTCAGTAGTGGTCGCAGTGCTGCCTACCTAATTTTATAAAAATTACATGTGCACTCCTGTTATAACAGCCATCACGTCAGATTAACGTTAATTGTGCTTAGGTGTAATGCCCAGAAATTATTTTATGTAGCAGTGTCCAAGGCCAGCATCTTCGCGAGCATCAGCGCTTCATATCAGCATCTGGTGTTGCTAATACACATGCTCCAGCTTACATCGTTGCGCTAGTGAAAAAACTGGTTACATAAGCATCTGCAACTCTTGAAAATATGTCTGTGTGGCAACAGTTCTACATATATTTAGCGTCAATTGATAACGTGTCGCAGAATAAAAAAACTAAAACTAGGTCACCTGCTCTACGCATGCTTCGCATAACGTCGATTCCCGCGTACGTGGGTTCTGTGGAATTTCTCTTTCTTTTTTTTTTGCAATACAAACTGTTTCTCTACGTTCGACAATCCGCTTGCATGGACACGAATTTTGTTAGCTGCATTGCGCAAGCGCTTACGCGAGTCACGGAGCGGCACGGGCGGCAATCGCAAGTTCATGTATTTTCAGGAGATCTACATAGACGGTGATAACCTATAAGTATTAAAAAGCGGCAGATCTCACGTACAGTTCAAATCCATGATATGCGAAGCACGAATGAGAGAGGTTGATATGTCACTTTGAACTCAGCACAACGTTACGCGGTGCAGGTGAATGATGCCGTATACATGACTTCCGAGTGATCATTATCATGTTTGAATTTGTCGTTTACCTTCGTCATCTATTCACGTCCCGTAATACCAAATTTAGTATACGTGGAGTTGGCGAAACGCCCGCGAGCCCCGCTGTGGTGGTCTTGTAGATAAGGCACCCGGCTGCTGATCCGCAGGTCGCGGGATCGAATCCCAGCTGCAGCGGCTGCATTTCCGATGGAAGCGGAAGTGTTCTAGGCCCGTAGCTCAGATTTGAGTGCACGTCAAAAATCCCAGGTGGTCGAAATTTCCGGAGCCCTCCACTCCGGCGTCTCTCATAATCATACGATGGTTTTCGGGCATTAAATCCCACATATCAATCAACCAATGGAAGCGCCCGTGAGCACGCTATGGCGTGGTATGTTGCCATGTTTTTACATGACACGCGTGTCAGGATTGTCACGTTTGCACCAGTCATATATTTCCTCACGCATTAACGTCTCGTAACACCAAATTTGGTATATGTGGAGCTAGCAAAACTGCCGTGAGCGTTTCATGAAGGGCCCAATACACTCCTACGTAGCGTTTACGCGTGCGCACGCTGGGCACAGCGACGTTACGTTAGCAAAACGCGAGCACTTCAGTCAGACGCCAGGCGCGACCAACATCCGTCGGCGTGGCCCGACAGAAACTGGCGCGAAATGCGACATGCTACATTTAGTGCTGATGCGTTACCCAGACAACACTGCGTTGCCCTCTTTTTGTGACGGAAGCACACCAGACGCGCTGAAACGCGCATGCGTCAAAACAACGCAGCGCGGCGCGCGCCTGCGAGTATATGGCAAGACCGGTGCCTGGCGTGGCAATGCCGGCATGACGCAACGAAAATGAACGCCGGAGAGCACGCGCACCACGTCATGTCGAAATGTACTGGCTCCATGACTCTGGCATGTAGTGATGTTCTCACGTGACGTGCATTTCATAATTATCATGTTTGCACCAGTCACATAGCTTCTTCATCCATTGACGTCACGTAATACAAGATTTGGCATATGTGAAGCTAGCGAAACGGCCACGAGCGCATCATGAGTGTCTCATGCAGTCATGTTACATGACACGCAGGTCATTATTATGTTTGCACCAGTCACATACTTTTGTCACCTATTCACGTACCGCAATACCAAATTCGGTATAAGTCAAGCTATCGAAACAGCCACCAGCGCATCATGAGCGTGGCATGTAGTCAATTTGTTACATGACACGCATGTCGTAATTTTCATGTGAGTGTCTGTCGTTTGGGTTTGCCATGCATTCATCTCATGCCATACCAGTTTTGCAACATGCCATGTGAACGAAACCACCGCAAGAGCTGCAAGACGAAGAAATGTAAATCATGACATTCATGGCATGAATGTCATGATTTTCATGTTATGACCAGTTAAGTATGTTTTTCATACAGTCATGTTATGCCATAGCAAGTTTGCTATCGATATCATTATCGAAACGGCCAGGAGAGCTAAAAGTCGTAGGCGGACAGATAGATAGATAGTTAGATAGATAGATAGATAAATAGATAGATAGATAGATAGATAGATAGATAGATAGATAGATAGATAGATAGATAGATAGATAGATAGATAGATAGATAGATAGATAGATAGATAGATAGATAGATAGATAGATAGATAGATAGATAGATAGATAGATAGATAGATAGATAGATAGATAGATAGATAGATAGATAGATAGATAGATAGATAGATAGATAGATAGATAGATAGATAGAAGCCGGCGAAGTTCGCTAAGAAATGCTTCACATTCAAAATTATACAAAAACTGGCCAATGTTTGCCGTTAAAATAATGCGTGATTTCTCGCGTGAAGAGGCGTTATAGAAAACACAGGCTCAAGCTTGCGCATGCCGTTCGCAGCCCTAGCGGAGAGACGGCAAAGCTCCGGTCGCTTAGACGAGCTTTGCTTGCTTGGGTGTCCCATTGCGCGCTCCGAAAACGTCTTCCATCGGGCTTTTATTTCGAATTTCTCTCGCTATCGGCGCCGCTCCTTCGTCATCCTGGAAAGCAGGCACGCACTCCTGCTGTATCGCGAGCTGCTACAAAAGTTTAAAAATGCTGAAGAGGTGAAAACTTCCCGTGAACTTATACCGCTTACAATGCAAACAGCGCAAGAAGTAATGGCATCAAGAGTGCATCATGGAAGTTCGTGATACTTCCATGGTCTTGTCACTTTGAAGAACATTTTGTCGTGCACAATATTAATAACTATTAACGGGGACGAAACGTGATGGCCAAGCTCATGTGAAAAGTGCGTTTGTAAGCTTAAAGTGCGTTTGTAAACTGAAACTACAGCAAATAGACAATCGCTGTACAATTCGAGATTGGGCATCGGCTTTCCGGTACAACCATTGGTAATGCGAAAGTGACTGAGCTTGCTAGCTTAATACACCAATGTTCGAAAACCGTACCATGAGCCCTGC